ACACCCTGCTAACAGAACAAATATCATCTATTGGGTCTCATATGTAGTGTATATTTCACTCTCTGTCTGTCTCTGTCTCTCTCTCTCTCTCTCTCTCTCTCTCTCTCTCTCTCTCTCTCTCTCTCTCTCTCTCTCTCTCTTTGTCTTTCTCTCTGTTTCTCTTCAGGTGGAGTCCATCACCAGTCTGCTGAAGGGAGCGGTGGTGGCCAAGGCCTTTGAACAGACCAAGTGTTTCACGCCTGGACGAGGACTACAAGGTAAAGACGGAGGGTTTGTCTTTCAGTGTGCACCCTGTTAACTTTGTAGTGCACTACTTTTGACGAGGACTGCACGGTAAAGACGGAGGGTTGTCTCTTACATACAGCCGGGTCATACTGTCACTACTTAGCCTATGAATCTGTGAGATTTGGATGCACAACAGTTTTCAGAACCAAATAGGCCAGACCCTAGCCTACTGTAACAAGATGGGTTTGGTCGACGGAAGAAATCCAGAAAAAAAAAAAACTCACTGGGGAAGTTTGCCTTTCAATGGGAGGAAAAACTCCATCCTTTCTTCTCCTCCCTCCATCCCCTCCCTCTCCACATGCATCCCTTTTTCTGGCATGGTGGTATATTGATTTTTTTCTCCTCCCTTTTCCTGTAAGGGCTGTTTTTGTACGGTTTTGCAGTGTTTTTGTAGTGTTTTTAGCTGGGGTGTAGCTGTGTTTATTAGGGCTTGCTCGGGTGCACAGTGGACCTTGGAGAAGTAAGATAACATTGGAGAGACTCCAGACCCAGAATCCATCCATCCCTCCATCCCTCCCTCCATTGCTCCTTCTCTCTAAAGAAAGAAAGAGTTTGAGAGGAAACAGGGACCTGCTCAGAAAACACTGCACGCCATCCCTCGCAGGGCTGCTGCTTCCTGTGGTGTGTATGTGGTGTGTGTGTGTGTGTGTGTGTGTGTGTGTGTGTGCGCAGGCTTGCATGCATGCCCTCCACCCTCCATCCCTCCCTCCATCCCTCTGTTCATCTCTCCTATAACAATCCCTCTGTGCCCCCTCTTGCGCTCTCTCCCTCCCTCCATCCTTCCCTTCTCTCTGTTCCTCTCCAATCCCTCTGTACCCTTCCCTTCTCTCTGTGCCTCTCCTATCCCTCTGTACCCTTCCCTTCTCTCTGTACCGTCTTCTATCCGTCTGTACCCTGCCCTTCTCTCTGTTCCTCTCCTAACCCCCTGTACCCTTCCCTTCTCTCTGTACCTCTTCTAAACCCTCTGTACCCTGCCCTTCTCTCTGTACCTCTCCTATCCCTCTGTAACCTGCCCTTCTCTCTGTACCTCTCCTATCCCTCTGTACCCTTCCCTTCTCTCTGTACCTCTTCTATCCGTCTGTACCCTTCCCTTCTCTCTGTTCCTCTCCTAACCCTCTGTACCCTGCCCTTCTCTCTGTTCCTCTCCTAACCCTCTGTACCCTGCCCTTCTCTCTGTACCTCTCCTATCCCTCTGTACCCTTCCCTTCTCTCTGTACCTCTTCTATCCGTCTGTACCCTTCCCTTCTCTCTGTTCCTCTCCTAACCCCCTGTACCCTGCCCTTCTCTCTGTTCCTCTTCTATCCGTCTGTACCCTTCCCTTCTCTCTGTACCTCTTCTATCCGTCTGTACCCTTCCCTTCTCTCTGTTCCTCTCCTAACCCCCCTGTACCCTGCCCTTCTCTCTGTTCCTCTCCTAACCCTCTGTACCCTGCCCTTCTCTCTGTTCCTCTCCAATCCCTCTGTACCCTTCCCTTCTCTCTGTACCTCTTCTATCCCTCTGTACCCTGCCCTTCTCTCTGTTCCTCTCCTATCCCTCTGTACCCTGCCCTTCTCTCTGTACCTCTTCTATCCGTCTGTACCCTGCCCTTCTCTCTGTTCCTCTCCTATCCCTCTGTACCCTTCCCTTCTCTCTGTTCCTCTCCTAACCCCCTGTACCCTTCCCTTCTCTCTGTTCCTCTCCTAACCCTCTGTACCCTGCCCTTCTCTCTGTTCCTCTCCTATCCCTCTGTACCTGCCCTTCTCTCTGTACCTCTTCTATCCGTCTGTACCCTGCCCTTCTCTCTGTTCCTCTCCTATCCCTCTGTACCCTTCCCTTCTCTCTGTTCCTCTCCTAACCCTCTGTACCCTTCCCTTCTCTCTGTTCCTCTCCTATCCCTCTGTACCCTGCCCTTCTCTCTATGCAACACCTTATATCTGGAAACCGTGCCACTGGCCTGCTGCTTACTGCAATTCCGCCCCAGCTCTAGTAGAGTACTGCTTATCACCCAACAGTGAAGATGACACCATACAGACCTACTGTACCTATATAATAGCCACAGTTGTCAGATCACATCATAACAATATACTGTTAAGTAAAATTTTTGGGGCTCAGTTTCTGCTTGTTTTGACTTTACCTTGTGTGGGTCCCAAATGGTACCCTATTCCCTATATAATGAACTACTTCTGGCCAGGGCCCTATATAGGGAATAGGGTGCCATTTGTGACGCATAACTTTTCTTGGCCTGAAACATTAAACAGCTTCTGTCAATTCTTTTGTTTTATCTCATTGTGTAGGAAGGTTTTCTGTTCTGGCCGAAGAACTTTACTCTCAGATAAAAATTGAATCTGGACAGGAAATGTAGCTGGAACAAAAGTTGCTATATTTAACCCTATCAGTTTCCTGGAGTGACAATAAACCACTATAGTTTTCATATTCTGGCTATGAATCATGAATCTCCATTGCTGAGTCGGGACATTCTAGAGATTAGATGGTGTACAGTTGTTTTCATGAAAAGGAGGAAAATCTATTGTTTCTGTATAAATGTCATGGCCAAGGTTTCTAAAGGTTAGGTTTTGTGGGTTTCAAAGGCTACGTCCCAAATGGCAGGCTATTCCCTGTGTAGTGCACTACTTTGACTAGAAATGTTGTCAGAGGTAGTGCATTTGTAAAGGGAATAGGGTGCCATTTGGGACAATAATAAACTGAATTGAATCAGTCTGGCATAGCCCCAACCTGTGTGGTGGCCTGGGGCTATATGTATCAAGCGTTTCAGAGTAGGAGTGCTGATCTAGGATCAGTCCCCCCATCCATATAATGTTATTCATTGTTATCTAAAAGGCAAGACTGATCCTAAATCAGCACTCCTTCTCTGAGACATTGGATACATCTGGCCCTGATCTGTAGGTTATACCCCTCTACCACTCTCTCCTAAAAAGTTGGTTGTCTTTGTGTGTCTTTGAGGATATTTTATTAGACTTGGTGTGTGTGTGTGGGGGGGGGGGGGGGGGGGGAGGTGGTTAGGTCCCCTATGTGTGTTTAGATATCAGAACCCTCCAAACACTTTGCACATTTCACGTTACATCTCTCTCCTCTGATCTGTGTCCCTCGCACCATGTGAGCACAGATGCATTTGATCTAGGAGGAGTGTGTGTGCGTGCGTGTGTGTCTGTGTGTGTGTGTTATGTTGATCCGATGAAGCGTATCGCCGGCGTAGTGTGTGTTGATAACACAGTAAATGGCAGAGCATTCCTCCTTCCTAGAGAAAAGAAACACAAACACACACACCAAAACACACTCACAGCCCCCACACACTACACACACAAGGGAGGACCAAATCCCTAAATGCCCTACAAGCCTCTAGTTCACCACCATCCTGTTATCACAGATTCAAACTCCCGTTCTCCTCCCAAAATAAAACACTATATCTAACCCCTCTGTGTGTGTGTGGTGTGTGTGTCTCAGTGTTTTACACCCTAGATTGATCTGGGGCCCCCCCCAAAATTTTTAAAAAAATTTAATTAAAGGGGAAATTTTTTGGCCCGGGGGAAAAATTTAAGGGGGGTTTTAAATCCCCCCCAAAAATTTTTCCCTTTTTCTAAAAAAAACTATCCTAAAAAGACTCCTTCGGTTGGGAAAGGCCCCTGATTGAGGTTAATAATTTTCCCCAAAAAATTTTTTCTTTTTCTTATTTTATTAATTGGGTTGGGGTTTTTGGGGGGGGGGGGGGGTTTTATCCCCATTTTTTGAATCCCCTCCCATTTTGAAAGGCCCTTTTTTCCTTTTTGTTTTCCCTGAAATTGAGACAGAGGGTTTAAAATGGGGGCGTTTGGGGGTTTTCCCTTGGGTTGTTAGTTTGTGGGGCCCTACGGGGGGAGTTGTTTGTAAAAGGTAAAAAAAGGATTTCCTTTAGGGGAAAAAAAACCAAACCCATGCCCCAAAAAACCCAACAAAAAAAAAATTTGGACAGTAGTAACCCCCAGTTTAAAAAAATCCCTCTCCCCAAAAAAATAAAAAAATTCTAACCCTCTTTTTTTTTTGGGGGGGCCGGGAACCCCCGATTTATTGTTGCCCCCCCCATCTCTTAAATTTCAAAAAGGGGGATTTTTGGCAAAAAAAATTTTTTTTACAAAAGAATTTCTTCCTTCCCCTTAAACTACCTAATAAAGACGTTTTGGTTCATTTAATTTTTGGGGGTTTTAAAATTTTTTCAAATTTTTTCCCTTCCCCCCCTTTTTTCTGTGTTCAAGGTTTTCTTTTTTCCTTTTTCCCCTGTTGGTTTTCTTCCTTCTTTGTTCGGGCCCCCAGCTTGGTCCTTGGGGATTTTTACCCTTGGTTCTTTATTTTTTTCCTTTTTTTTTTTTGTTTGTAGGGGCGGTTTTCGTTTTCCCCACCCTCCCCTTGTTTTGGGCCCGTTTCTTTTTTCCTTCCTTCTTCCTTGTCCCTCCCTTTTTCTTCCTTTTTGGGGGGATGGGTTTTTCTTTTCTAACATAAGCCTGTCCGGTTTGGTCCTGGAAATAAGCTCAAATCTATGCAGACACCAAGTGCTCCTTTTGTTTTTATTTTATTTGCCTGGATAGTCACCTGTTGGAAGTGTCCTGGGGTAAGGAATGTTTTTTGGATTATCAAGTCCCTCAGTCAAGAACCTGATTCCCTATTTGATCAAGCTGGGCTGAAGCGTGGTTTGAGTACCCTTCCGTTTCTCTGATTATAACATGTTGGTGTGTTGTGTCTGTCAGAGTTCCAGCAGGAGATGGATCCTAGGGTTAACTGTACCAAGAAGCTCCGTGTCCACATCAAGCAGGACCCATGGAACCTCCCCAGCAGTGTACAGGCCCTCACCACACACCATCGCCAAGTTCGTAGAAGGTAAGATGCACACTCTGAGACCTTGAAAAAGCCTCTGTAATGAGTATGTCTCCATCTGCAGTAAAAGTCCACAGAGGTACTGTCAGATGAACCGATGTGGATGTGGTGGAGGAGTCAGGCGCAGGACACAGAGGCTTCGTCCAACAGACTTTACTTAGTCAAAAGTGCAAAAATACAATACACGGCCTCGAAACAACAGAGGCGAGTGAATACGTAAACCCATGCGTAAACACTAAACAAACAAACAGAGCGTCAACACGCAGCTCCGAAATACAGGCAGACAACAACACACAATCTAACCAATACAAAACCGGGAACTTATAGGACACGTAATCAGAACACAAACAGACACAGGTGTACAAGACAGACCAAAGCAATCACACCACGAAACATTAAACGGTGGCAGCTAGTACTCCGGGGACGGCGAACGCCGAAGCCTGCCCGAACCAGGAGGAGGAGCAGTCTCGGCCGAAACCGTGACAGTACCCCCCCCTTGACGTGCGCCGACCCCGGCCTCGGGGATGGCCAGGAGGACGCGGACCCGGGCGCTTGGGATGCCCACGGTGGAACTCAGTCAGGAGGGATGGATCTAGGATGTCCCTCCTAGGCACCCAGCACCGTTCCTCCGGACCGTACCCCTCCCACTCCACGAGATACTGGAGACCACTCATCCGGCGCCTCGAGTCCAAGATGGTCCGGACCCTGTACGCCGGGGCCCCCTCGATGTCCAAAGGGGGCGGAGGGGTCTCTCCTATCTCATCTTCTTGGAGTGGGCCAGCTACCACCGGCCTGAGAAGAGACACATGGAACGAGGGGTTAATATTCTTGTACTCAATAGGCAGTTGTAACCTGTAACACACCTCGTTCAATCTTCTCAGGACTTTAAAGGGCCCCACAAACCGCCGACCCAGCTTCCGGCAGGGCAGGCGGAGGGGCAGGTTTCGAGTCGAGAGCCAGACTCGATCTCCCGGTGCGTACACCGGTCCCTCACTGCGGTGGCGATCGGCGCTCGCCTTTTGTTGACGGATGGCCCGCTGCAGATGGACATGGGCAGCGTCCCACGTCTCCTCCGAGCGCCGAATCCACTCGTCCACCGCAGGGGCCTCGATCTGGCTCTCGTGCCACGGTGCCAGGACCGGCTGATACCCTAAAACACACTGGAAAGGTGTTAAATTGGTGGAGGAGTGGCGGAGAGAGTTCTGGGCCATCTCTGCCCAGGGGATATACCTAGACCACTCCTCCGGCCGGTCCCGGCAATAGGACCTCAGAAACCTACCCACATCCTGGTTGACTCGTTCAACCTGCCCATTGCTCTCTGGGTGGTACCCCCGAGGTAAGGCTCACCGAGACCCCCAAGCGTTCCATGAACGCCCCCCAGACTCTGGAGGTGAACTGGGGACCTCGGTCAGACACAATATCCTCGGGGACCCCATAGTGCCGGAACACGTGGGTAAATAGGGCCTCGGCGGTCTGTAGGGCAGTAGGGAGACCCGGCATTGGGAGGAGACGACAGGCCTTGGAGAACCGATCCACAACGACCAAAATGGTGGTATTCACCTGGGAAGGGGGTAGGTCGGTTACAAAATCCACCGAGAGGTGGGACCATGGTCGTTGTGGAACGGGCAGGGGATGTAACTTACCCCTGGGCAAATGTCTAGGCGCCTTACACTGGGCGCACACCGAGCAGGAGGAGACATAAACCCTCACATCCTTAGCTAACGTTGGCCACCAGTATTTCACGCTAAGGCAGTGCACTGTCCGGCCAATACCTGGATGTCCAGAGGAGGGTGATGTATGAGCCCAATAAATAAGACGATCACGAACCTCGAGCGGAACGTACGTCCGCCCCACAGGACACTCGGGGGGAGTAGGGTCGGTACGCAGTGCCCGCTCGATTTCCGCATCGACCTCCCATACCACCGGAGCCACCAGACAAGACTCCGGCAGTATGGAAGTAGGCTCAATGGCCCTCTCCTCTGTGTCATACCGCCGGGACAGGGCGTCTGCCTTACCGTTCTGGGACCCTGGGATGTATGTGATCTTAAAAACAAACCGGGTCAGGAACATGTTCCACCTAGCCTGACGAGGGTTCAATCTCCTAGCTGCCCGGATGTACTCCAGGTTACGGTGATCAGTCAGAATGAGGAAAGGGTGTTGAGCCCCCTCAAGCCAATGCCTCCACACCTTTAGGGCCTGGACTACAGCTAAACTGTCCCCAACGTCATAATTGCGCTCCGCCGAGCTGAGCTTCTTGGAGTAGAACGCACAGGGGCGGAGCTTAGGTGGCGTGCCGGACCGTTGTGACAGGACTGCCCCAATACCGGTCTCGGACGCGTCTACCTCTACTTGGAATGGTAAAGAGGGATCCGGATGCGCCAGCACCGGGGCCGAGGTGAACAGGTTCTTCAGTTTGACAAATGCCCTGTCCGCCTCAGCTGACCACTGCAAACGAACCGGACCCCCCTTTAGCAGGGACGTAATGGGAGCTGCAACCTGTCCAAAGCCCCGGATAAACCTCCGGTAGTAATTAGCAAAACCCAAGAACTGCTGCACCTCTTTTACAGTGGTTGGAGTTTGCCAATTACGCACGGCCGACACACGGTCTACCTCTATCTCCACACCAGACGCGGACAACCGATAACCCAAAAAGGAGACGGACTCCTGGAAGAACAGGCATTTCTCTGCCTTGACATACAAGTCATGCTCCAACAGTCTTCTCAACACTCGGCGCACCAGGGCTACATGCTCAGCTCGTGTAGAAGAGTACACTAGGATGTCGTCGATGTACACTACCACACCCTGCCCATGCATGTCCCGGAAAATCTCGTCAACAAAGGATTGGAAGACTGAAGGAGCATTCATTAACCCGTATGGCATGACGAGATACTCGTAATGACCCGAGGTGGTGCTAAATGCCGTTTTCCATTCATCCCCCTCCCTAATGCGCACCAGATTGTACGCGCTCCTGAGACCCAACTTTGTGAAGAACTGCGCTCCGCGTAATGATTCTGTCATAGTCGCAATCAGTGGAAGAGGGTAACTGTACTTATCCGTGATCTGATTGAGACTACGGTAATCAATACACGGGCGCAAACCCCCGTCCTTCTTCTTCACAAAGAAGAAACTTGAGGAAACCGGGGAAGTGGAGGACCGTATGTATCCCTGTGCCAAGGACTCGGCTATGTAAGTCTCCATAGCCGCAGTCTCCTCTTGAGACAGGGGATACACACGGCTCCGCGGAAGTGCCGCTCCTGTTTGGAGATTTATCGCACAGTCCCCCTGTCTATGAGGTGGTAGCCGTGCTGCCCTCGTTTTGCTGAACACAAGTGCTAAGTCCTCATACTCAGGGGGAATGCGCATTGCGGGCACTTGGTTCGGACTCTCTACCGAGGTCGCCCCTAAGGAAACACCTAGACATTTCCCTACACACTGGGCAGACCACTCCATAAGAGCCCTCTGTTGCCACACAATGGTAGGATCATGCGCGCTTAACCAGGGAAGCCCCAGCACCACGGGGTACGCAGGAGAGTCAATCAGATAAAACTGAATGATCTCCTCATGACCCCCCTGCGTCGTCATCTTAAGTGGTGCTGTGACTTCTCTGATCAGCCCCGACCCCAACGGCCGGCTGTCTAGGGCGTGGACAGGAAAGGGGGCTTCTACCGGCCGAAGGGGAATTCCTAACCTATAACAAAATGTCCGATCAATAAAATTCCCAGCTGCGCCTGAATCTACTAGCGCCTTATGCTGGGAATGAGGTGCCACCTGTGGAAATCTCACAGGAATACTCATGTGACCAACAGAGAGCTCTGGGTAAGTGGGGCGCCTACTCACCTGAAATGACTCCCCAGTGCGTGACCTGTTGTCCCCTCTCCCAGGAGACCCTCCCCAGCACCTGGCCGCGGTGTGTCCTCCACGGCCACAGTTGGTGCAGGGGATGGCCCCCCTCGGGTTCTCTCTCCTCCTCTCTCTAGCGCCAGCACCCCCGAGCTCCATGGGAATCGGCTCGGAGGTGCTGGAGGGTGGAATGGACGACCCCCACTCGGGACGTCCGCGGGTAGCCAGCAGGGTGTCGAGACGGATGGAGATGTCCACCAACTGGTCGAAGGATAGGTTGGTGTCCCTGCAGGCCAGCTCACGACGAACGTCCTCTCGTAGGCTACACCGGTAATGGTCGATGAGGGCCCTCTCATTCCACCCCGCATCCGCCGCTAGAGTCCGGAACTCCAGGGCGAACTCCTGTGCGCTCCTCTTCCCCTGTCGGAGGTGGAACAGACGCTCCCCCGCCGCCTTTCCCTCAGGTGGGTGATCGAAGACAGCCCTGAAGCGGCGGGAGAACTCCGCGTAGGTGATGGTAGCGGCGTCTATTCCCCTCCATTCGGCGTTGGCCCACTCCAACGCCTTGCCGGATAGACAGGAGATGAGGGCGGAGACGCTCTCGTATCCCGAGGGCGCTGGGTGTAGGGTAGCCAGGTAAAGTTCCACCTGCAGGAGGAACCCCTGACACCCGGCTGCAGAACCGTCATATGCCCTCGGGAGCGAGAGCCGAATGCCCCTGGGTTCCGGTGCTGAGAGAGGAGGACTGGCCGTTGGTGATGGGATGGTGTAAGAAGACGTGGGCACCTCCCCAGTAACCAACCGGCGCAGAGTGTTGGACACCTCGTCCATGGCGGACCCAAGTTGCCGGATCATGGTGTCCTGATAGCTGATCCGTTCCTCCAGCGACTTGGGTGTCGCAGCTGCTCCTGCTGACTCCATGGTTGGTGTGTTGTTCTGTCAGATGAACCGATGTGGATGTGGTGGAGGAGTCAGGCGCAGGACACAGAGGCTTCGTCCAACAGACTTTACTAGTCAAAAGTGCAAAAATACAATACACGGCCTCGAAACAAACAGAGGCGAGTGAATACGTAAACCATGCGTAAACACTAAACAAACAAACAGAGCGTCAACACGCAGCTCCGAAATACAGGCAGACAACAACACACAATCTAACCAATACAAAACCGGGAACTTATAGGACACGTAATCAGAACACAAACAGACACAGGTGTACAAGACAGACCAAAGCAATCACACCACGAAACATTCAACGGTGGCAGCTAGTACTCCGGGGACGGCGAACGCCGAAGCCTGCCCGAACCAGGAGGAGGAGCAGTCTCGGCCGAAACCGTGACAGGTACAAACTCGAAGCAGTGTACCATACAGTACACACAGAACATTGGACACAAAGGCCTTCATCCATACATTAGCCAAGTTGGAAGGTTAGTGCTGAATATGGTGCCACCACCATACACAAACTCAGACACCACACGACAACAAAACTCAGAACACCACACCAGATACAACAAAACTCAGAACACCACACCAGATACAACAAAACTCAGAACACCACACCAGATACAACAAAACTCAGAACACCACACCAGATACAACAAAACTCAGAACACCACACCAGATACAACAAAACTCAGAACACCACACCAGATACAACAAAACTCAGAACACCACACCAGATACAACAAAACTCAGAACACCACACCAGATACAACAAAACTCAGAACACCACACCAGATACAACAAAACTCAGAACACCACACAAGATACAACAAAACTCGGAATACCACACCAGATACAACAAAACTCGGAACACCACACCAGATACAACAAACTCAGAACACCATACTTTGGGCAACAAAACTCAGTACACCGCACCAGCTACATCAAAACTCAGAACACCACATCTTGGACAACAAAAGCACTACACACTTGATTTACTACACACAAAACTGGAGGTAGTTCTGTCTGGCCTGAAACCAAAGCAACTCTGGCCTACACACAGAACAGTTGCATAAATATAAAGGTCATAACAGTTTGAGATGAAACCACTAAAACGGAGTTATAGAGCAGAAGCCTTTCCCTGGTTAGCACCCCAAATGCAGTGTCAGTAAGTATGCATACCCCTTGACTTATTCCACATTTTGTTGTTACAGCCTGAATTCAAAATATAATCAATATTTTGTATTTCTCACCCATCTACAAACAATAACCCATAATGACAAAGTGAAAACATGTTTTTAGAAATGTTTGCACATTTATTGAAAATGAAACACAGAAATATTCATTTACATAAGTATTCACACCCCTGAGTCAATACATGTTAGAATCACTTTTGGCAGTGATTATAGTTGTGAGTCTTTCTGGGTAAGTCTGTAAGAGCTTTCCCCACCTGGATTGTACAATATTTGCCCATTATTCTTTTCAAAATTCTTCAAGCGCTGTCAAATTGGTTGTTTATTTTTTATTTTTTTATTTTACCTTTATTTAACTAGGCAAGTCAGTTAAGAACAAATTCTTATTTACAATGACGGCCTACACCGGCCAAACCCGGATGACGCTGGGCCAATTGTGCGCCGCCCTATGGGACTCCCAATCACGGCCGGTTGTGATACAGCCTGGAATCGAACCAGGGAGTCTAGTGACGCCTCAAGCACTGAGATGCAGTGCCTTAGACCACTGCGCCACTCGGGAGCCCGAGTGATCATTGATAGACAACCATTTTCAAGTCTTGCCATAGATTTTCAAGCAGATTTAAGTCAAAACTGTAACTCGGCCACTCAGGAACATTTACTTTCTTCTTGGTAAGCAACTCCAGTGTAGATTTTTCCTTGTGTTTTAGGTTATTGTCCTGCTGAAAGTTGAATTCATCTCCCAGTGTCTGGTGGAAAGCAGACTGAACCAGGTTTTCCTCTAGGATTTTGCCTGTGCTTAGCTCCATTCCGTTTATTTTTTATCCTGAAAAACTCCCCAGTCCTTAACGATTACAAGCATATCCATAACATGATGCAGCCACCACTATGCTTGAACATATGGATTTGCCCCAAACATAAGAATTTGTATTCAGGACAAAAAGTGAATTGCTTTGCCACATTACTTTAGTGCCTTGTTGCAAACAGGATGCATGTTTTTGAATATTCTTATTCTGTACATGCTTCCTTTTTTTCACTCTGTCAATTAGGTTAGTATTGTGGAGGAACTACAATGTTGTGATCCATCCTTAGTTTTCTATCACAGCCATTAAAGTCATCATTGGCCTCATGGTGAAATCATGTTAAACACAATTATTGCACACAGAGGGAGTCCATGCAATTTATGTAACTTGTTAAGTACATTTTAACTTAACTAGGCTTGCCGTAACAAAGGGGTTGAATACTTATTGACTCAAGACATTTCAGCTTTTCATTTTTAATTAATTTGTTTAAAAAAATGTAATAATAATTTGACTTTGACATGATGTGGTATTGTGTGTAGGCCAGTGACCAATTATAAAAAAATTTGTCAGGCTGTAACACAACAAAATATGGAAAATGTCAAGGGGTGTGAATACTTTCTGAAGGCACTGTATATTAATCCAACATCCTGACACTATTTATTTATGTTGGAGTGTGTGTGTTTTGTGTGAATTAAGTGCGCATGTTTGTGCCTTAATCCCTGATCAGATGACTTTGTGTGTGACTTAGTGTGTGTGTGTGTGTGTGTGTGTGTGTGACTTTGTGTGACTTTGTGTGTGTGAGAGGAGAGTAGAAATAAGCAGTGTAATAGCATACTACAGCTTGGCTTGTTTACAATAGCCTAACCTCTCATGGTGATTTTCTCACCTCTCATGGTGCCAAGGTTTTTACTGTTCCATTAATACCACTGGGGCTTTGATATGACTATAAACACACACAGATTCATGTTATCTTTGTGGTTCAGTTATGATGTTAAGTCTCTACTATCTAGAAATAATGGGGTGGTTGGTGGGAGCCATCCTATCAGGTTTTATGGGTCAGAAGAACCAAAGTATCAGGAAGTCTCCATGGGAGTCTAACCTTGGTTTGTCCTTCACTATTTCAGAGGTGAAGACACGACTGCTCTTGGTCCTACTGCAGTACACAGGTTGGTTTTCCTCTCCTCTTAAATGCCTTGGATGTAAAAACAATGTACAGTTTATAGGGATAGACACACACACACACACACACACACACACACACACACACACACACACCACAGTATCCTCAATACACACATCTACAATGAAACAGAAGAGTGAAAGTGAATTATAGGGACTAAACTACAGAACATCCACATAGCTCTCTCTCTACACAGTAATTATGACACTAGCTAAGTCCTCCTAAAATTCCTACAGGATTTTTTTGGGGTCTTGACAAAGTCCCTCATGATCCCATTACAGCACCCTTAAGAACACAGAATATCTCCCTATTTCTCAAGGTTATGGAGTGAACAGAAAATAATGTGGAGTGTAGGAAGCACATTATGAATTCTATTGGAGATTTCTGAACCCATTTTTAAATGAGTGGATTGCTTAACTTCTCCTTGCAGGCTATTTTTCAGGATATTATGGCGCCAGGCAATTATCTTCAGCTCGAGACCCACCTGTCTTTTGACTCCATGTATTTCAGATTCATGTTTAATGCCCAACTGACTTGAACGTTGATCACAATTGAACATTGAACTTTGAAAAAGTTTTGACCGACCCAAGGAGTTAATGTAATTTGTGTTCAGCATCGATAACAAGTTAATTTTCTCTCACACACCTCCCCTATCTCTGTCTCTTCCTCTCTCTCCCTCCCTCTCCTCTACCTCCCTCCCTCCCCCTCCTTCCCTCTCTCTAGACTCAGAGATCCAGTTGAGGAGAGATATGGTGTTCTGTCAGTCTCTGGTAGCAGCTGTGTGTGCCTTCTCCCAACACCTACTGGCTGTTCTCAACCAGGTAACAGAGTGTGTGCATGTGTGCCTGTGTGTGTGCGTTTCAAAATTGCTGTAACTTTCCCAAAATTCCCAGATTTTCCAGAAATCCTAGTTGGAAGATTCCCAGAATCAGGAGGCAATGAGCAGGAAGTCCGGAATCCGCCGGGAATTTGGGGAAAGTTACTGGAATTTTGCAACCCTACAGCTAGCTTAACCTTTTAACCATCCCTCCTTCCCCCCCCTCCAGACCCAGGGATCGGGCAGGGAGGCAGATCCAGAGGCCCCGGACCCCCAGGATCCTCAGGAGGCCCAGGAGGCAAGCCGACGGTGGCTGGAACAGATAGCCTCCGCTGGGCTACTTCTCCACTTCCAGTCCCTCCTCTCTCCCAACCTGGTGAGTGACTGGCAGACAGGCAGGCAGGCAGCTACCAACCACCCCTGGACACACTCATTGTATATTGAGGCTAAATATGATTGTTTTGCAACACAAAAAAGGCTAAGATGTTGCCCCCAAATATTCCACATCATTTAAAATACTCTGCACGGCACCTGATTCAAAACTAGATTAGAATACTGCAGAGTATATTGTAAGCCAGCCACTAGAGCCCTGTTATTTCTGTACCAGAGGAGATGCTTGGTGGCCTCACTTCATCTCATCTCCACACCAAATCAGCTCCAAAACAAAGACACAAACAAACCTAGTGCTCCTGTGTGTATGTGACCGCCCGCAGTGGAGTTGGGTTGATTGTGTATGTGTGTGTGTGTGTGTGTGTGTGTGTGTGTGTGTGTGCATGCGCGAGTACGAGTGTGTACGTGCGTTCCTGCGTGTGTACTGGTCCGCCAGAAGAGGGGTGAGACAGAAGAGGGGTGAGACAGTGACGTTAGGTTGATTGTGGTTGTGAACAGCCATGTCATTGTACTGCGACTGTCCTCAGAGGAGCTTTGTCCTCTTGTTTAATGAGGGGAGTTGGCTTGGCCCTCCTAGTGTCCTACACCCAATACTGCACCTCCTTGGTTCTGCAACCCCACAATATTACTCTGTTCCTTTTAGCACTCGTGTTGTA